TATCGCTTCCACGGACCATTTCGATCAGATTATTTTGACCAAATATGGCAAATTCGATATTGTCCACAGGGAAAAAAAGCAGCAAGCGAGAGGAGGGAGAGTTCCCCCACTGGCAGCCCCTGGTGTTAATGACTTAATTAAACCACCAGGCAACCACTCCAGTCCGAGGCTGGAGCTCGACAGCGAGGCTGCATCGGTGTCTGCTCCTGCAGTAGTCCGACAATTTCACACTTTTTGCGTGGTGATGGCAATATCAAAAGTGGCACGACTGGTCAAAGTGTCGCAAAAAACCCCCAACAGACAATGGCGTAGTCGGGGATTCATTTCGGAGGGATATTCAGCTGACGATCTTCACTCGTTGAAGCTCTTTTATATACTCCTTCTGGCCAAGCCACTGGTCCGGGCTTAATCTTGCCTTGGCCAGAAGATTTCACGCATGTTCCGTGCCGCGTATCACTTGACGATGCCTTCTCATGATGATGATGATGATGATGATGATGATGAGGATGCTCGTTTGCTCCTCTTCGTCGCGCACCTCCGCGGAAAGTTGATTAATATGCGCAGCTCTGACTAAACAGTAGCCGGGCCAAATGGTTCTCTCCTGCTGCTCCCGATACTGATGGGGCAGGCCTGGGCATGGGCAAGCAGATGACACTGAGCTGGTCTGTCGTCTGTCGTCTGCCGCCTCCCGTCTGCCGTCTGCCGACAGCGAGACTGTCTGACATATCCATTAGGCGGAACAGCCGAAAAGTCAGCAAGTCAGCCAGGCCAGCAAAATGCGGTCCGTTTGCCTGAGTTGTCGACCACGTCCCCATCATAATTATTAAATGCAGCTCAATACATTTGCCACGAATTGCCGGCATTCCTCCGCAACCTAATGCCCAAAGATATTTCTTGGGGCAACCGTTGCCGCCGTCGCCAGCCTTATGACAATGGAATGCAGCCGAATCGCACCAGAAGGGGGCAGCAGCCACAAAAATGTGACTGCGACTGCTACTGAGGCAGGGACGACTGACTTCGATAGGGACTGGAAGTCCTCTAGGCTCCACGTTCCACACTCTCCACTCTCCACTCTCCACTCTAAACGCCGGCGCGTCTGCAGGAGCCAGAGCCGAAGAAGCAGAACAACAAGAACGATGTAAATTAAACGAATGCCTTGCCACAGCGCCGATCTTTCATCATTGAGGATGCCTGCCCCCTTGTGCACCTTTTGGTTGCTTATAGAGTTATTCCATCTCTTCATTTTCAATCAGTGCGACAGTAATTCTGGCTTTTTCATTTCATTTCTCGATTTATTGAATTTCGTATAAATTAAAATATTAAATATTTTCAGCGACAAACTTGTTAATTGCCAAGTTTTGCTTGTTGCCAGTTGTTATTCCTGGATGCGGTATTTTGGCCAAACATTTCATAACCTTTCCACATGGGTTAACGAACTCTAGTCCAAAAGCCACAAGCCACAGACGGGCATACGGCAGTACGAAGGAGAAACGAATTCATCTAAGGTTGAAATTGAATTTTGATCCCTTTTTGAATGTGGCCCAGTGTGAGGTCCCCTCACACACACCATGGGATACACTTGGGTCAAATTATTCTTGAAGAAAGCCCAACCAAATAATATATAAATTAAATTGAATAAGAAGTGATTGATACTGTCCACCACCCGCTGTATATTGTGTGTTTAATGTGACACTTTCAACACCTCCAGGTCCAACAGCCCTTGTCCCACTGTCGCTTATATAAATATTCAGGTACTTGAAATCAGATTAAGTTATGCCGAACAAATTGAGACCCAGACAAAGGGATACCAACTTAGTTACCCTCGAGGGAGGACCAACGCACATCCTCGGCCAGAACTAAACAAAAAACGAGGAATCTATTTAAATTTGATTTTCCAACAGACCCAGGGCCAGGCCCCGTTCCTGTTCCTGTTCATGTCCCAAACCCCAGCATATGTAGGGCACACTAGACTGCAATAATAGAAATTTACTTTCTGCCCGCGGGCTCCCCAGCGAAACCCCAGCAAGAGTTGCTCTGCCCTTTGTTGTTTGCGGTTGGCTTTTGTGGAGCGATGAAGCCTTTAGTAAAGCCTGGCCAATCTAAAAATTGCTTTTAATTGCCTTTTAATTGTTTTCGCAAAACGAATTTGAGCAACCATCACGGCACTCGCATTTGGCCTAATTGCATGCGGCCTTTTTCCACTTTTTCAGCAGCCAAATACCGCCCTCGAAAGGATGCTGCAACTGGAGAGGGCGCTTTCCAGTGTAAGCGCGCAAATGTTGTCATTTAATGGACCACTGGGCGTATGATTCGATTGGGCCAGTGACACAGTTTGCCGGAGTCTACAGTCGAGAGTCGAGTCGAGGAGTTCCACTCCGGAGTTGGATATTTTGATTAGCACCGCAAGCGCAATTGTCAACAATATGACATTATACGAGTACGGCAGCACTCCCCCGACAAAAATCACGGTTCGTTACCCAATTCAAATGGAATCGCAATTGCTTTTTGGACTTCAGAGGGAAAATCTAAAGGGAAATCTGTTAGGATAAACGAATGTAATACATTCACCTGATTCTAATTTTAATATTTAGCTATGGCCAATAGCGAACCCAAGACATGTTGCACAATTCCATTTTTCAATGATTAACTTGTCCTTGGGCTAGAGGTCTGTCCTCTGAAAAATTAACAGTTTCCTGCAGCTTAGAGTGTGTTTCTTTCTCTTGTAGTTCGTGGTTTATTATTCGCGTGAGTGTAGGTAAATGTATGAATTATAAAGGGTCCCTTTATCTTTGATGAGGTCTTCTATAGTACTCCCGAACAACACATCCAAATCCAACAAAGACTTTCACACCCTCCCCGTCCAATGGCATTTGCATTTATGTTTATGTCTCTGCCTTTGGGTGCATATCTTTCGATTGTATCTTTCGCTGCCTGCGTCAAATGTGGCTCATGAATGGTGATCGATACCATAATGAGCGTATTCAGAGGACCAAGGAGCAGCAGCAGGAGCCGCTGCAGCACATAATGTGAGCCATGGAGATGCCGCAATGCGTGCTCTATCTTCTGCCTCATCCCCAGTATCTATGTATCTGACACACACACACACACACACACAGACACACACTTGCATACACACGCACAGATATCCTTGAACAACGATTGCCGCTCACGTAATGAAATTGTCCAAAACGCTCAACCAACTACTCAAAAAGTCATCGTTCAGATTTAACAAGAGAGCCCAGCCAGCGGCGATGGATGGATGCCGATGCCGATGCCAGTGGCTGGGGCAGGGAGAGTGCAGTGCGAGTGCCACATGTAGGGGGGGAAGCGAAGTGGCAGGCAATGGCGATGGCAATGCCAATACATACATACATACCCTGTACATATGCATGGGGTGGCATTCGGGATTCGGGTGTGGGTTGTGGGTTGTGGGGTGTGCCTCTCACTCTCACGCCTCTGCAACGGTGGCGGCAACGAAAACTCATTTACTTGTGGCATGTAAACAACTAATCTGTTAACACTCTGGACAAAGCGCGAACGATACATTAGCGTGTTCTCTGCCTTCTTCTCCACGACGCTGTGGCGCCCCACCCTTCCCAGTATTTCCGGCTCCTGTCACCCAGGCGGAGCATGATGAAGCACCACCAGTGACAGCGCCACAATGGCAGCTTTGCTCGTGAATATTTCCCTCGTTCGTAATCAAAAGTTCCTTTTTCCCTTTTCCCTTTTCCCTTTTGCCAAAATAGAAACGTGATTTCGTTGTGCAATGGGCTTTGTCTATGTGTGTGTGTGTGTGTGTGTGTGTGTGTGCAATTGGCGACAAGGATTCGAGGGATTCGAAAACATAAGGACACCGAGTACATGGGTCAGGATCAGCGGAGTATGAGCGTGAGCCATAACTATATTGCCAGAGAGAGAGGGGACGAGAGTAGACGCTGCCAGACCACATGGTGTCAAACATTTTGCTACACTTATACAATATGTTTCAGCCACAGTGGGCCAAATATGCGAAAAAGCAGCAGTGCATTTGGGTGGAGATTAAAGATATGTTTTCTTTCAATATCGGTACAATAATTCCTAATATGTAAATGTACAAATTTATGTACCTAGTTTTCTTCATACTTATTTGAATGTTTCGTCGAAATTGCAATGAATTTTCTAAATATTTTAATGGTAATATGGTAATATTTTAAATGTAATCCAACTGATCGTAACCACTGTACTACCTTCTCCGTGCCCTTCTCAGTGCCGCTTCCTGGTTGTTTTATTTGATTTCTTTATCAATATCAGAGCTGCCTCTGCCTCATCACGCCACTCCACTCCACTTCATTGTACCCCTAGCGCTGCCCCTCCACTCCATCGTATCACCGTCCTCCCATCGCCCATCAACCATCTCCATTCCTAACTCCGATTGAAGACCCTGCTGTTATCCTGCGACTGCAACAGTATGGGCCTTGGTGTCAGTGTGTGTGCGTGTGTGTGTGTGTGTAGGGTTTATATACATTTCATTTAAACGAGACCCAAGAAACAGCGACTGACTGCCACTGCCACTGCCACCACCGCAAGCGCCAGAGCGAGATGGCAGCAGGGAGAGCCCGGCCCCGGTCTGGTGTCGAATGGCGTTGATCGAAGCGAGACGGCAATAGGAGCACAACGAACCACGCCCACTGCCTTTGGGTGTATGGTGGTGTTTCAACTATCCGTATCTGTATCTGCATCTGTATCTGGCTGGGCTGGGAGTATCTGTGTGCGTGTACATGGACTCGGTAGCCAAACTGGTCTGGCATTGGGTATTGGTATTGGTGGCAACTCGTTTCTGTTACCATATCTGTGTCTGTGTGTCGGGTGTATCTGTGTCTGCAGCTGGCAGCTGGCAGGCGGCAAGGCGGCGGCAGTAGTAGCAGTAGCTTGAGCTAGCTGCCAGAGTATCTGTATCTGTGGCGCGTCATTGTTGTGCTGCTGCTGCTACTGCTACTGCCACTGCCACTGCCACTGACACTACTGCTGTGTGTTGCTGTTGCTGTTGCTGTTGCTATTGCTGTATCTGCTGCTGCTGCCGCTCCGTACCGTTCCCGTCGCATAGTAGGCAGCTCAGTTACAAGACCATTATTTGACGTATTTTTTGCGCGCTCGGTTGGCCGTTTGGTTGGTCGCTCGGTACCTCGGTTGGATGATCGGTTTGCTCGGCTATATCCATAGCACGCCCATTCCCAGTCACAGTCACATTCCCAGAGCCCCTTCCGTCGGAGCCTTGGATACAAAGTGGATTTTGGAAGAGAACTTCTGCAGTCTCATCGAATCGTACTCGCACTCGCACTCGCACTCGTAATCGCAATCGCACTCGCACTCGTTAACTGGGGCCGGGTATCGCATTCATGAGCTGGCTCATTGGCATTCATTTGGATTCGCACGCCGACACCGCCAGTAGTGCGTCCAACGCAGTGGTCACCTCCTCATCCTCAGCCTCAGTCTCAGTCTCAGTCGCGAGTGATCAAACCACTTAAATGACTCCAAATCCTCAACGAAAGTGCTAACACATTCAAATACAAATACAACAGAAATAAATACACGTGGATACAGACGATCGATCCATCCCGTTCAGTGCTCGGTGCAAAAGTGTTCAAAAGTGAAGATAATCCAGCGACACTCCACTAGGACTCCACTCTGGTCAAGTTGGTGGCAAGCAAGATTGCTTCGTTTCGGTGCAGAATAGTATGCGAATTCGTCCACAGTGGATTCAACGAATAAAATGGCCGTTGGACCGACGGAGGGCAAACAGCCGCCCTCAGAGAGCTTCTCGCCCACGCACCACCAGATTATAGCGCCCAGTCCGATACTGGCGGTGCCCACACTCGCCTTCTCCGCCGCCCAGGTGGAGATCGTCTGCAAGACCCTGGAGGACTCGGGCGACATCGAGCGGCTGGCCCGATTCCTCTGGAGCCTGCCCGTCGCCCTGCCAAACATGCACGAGATACTCAACTGCGAGGCGGTGCTCCGGGCCCGGGCAGTGGTCGCCTATCATGTTGGCAACTTCAGGTAGGATTCCATCCCATTCCTCAAACAAAAGCCCCCAGATCGAATAACCTTATTGCAAATAACCGGCAATGAGGCAGTGCAGGGCAGCCTCCCTGATTAACCCCGACCCAAAACCGACCCCGAACCGAACCGAACCGAACCGATCTGATCCGCTCGTCCGTCGGTTGGTTATTCGATAGTTTTGTCCCGAGCTTTGTGCCTCGAACGTAATGAGAGCACAATGAGCTCCTAAATTAATAAACAAAGGAATTAATTTACTAATTAAAGAACTCGCAGCCATCCCAAAGCCAAGTGGAGCAGGCTTGATTAATAAAACACCGACCGACTGAACAATACAGGATCGGGGCACCAGGAATGGCAATGGGAATGGACCGTGGGTCTGGTCCGGGCCTGTCTGATGTTTCGGCTTCCGTCGCCACTTATAAAATACTCTCACATTACATTTGAATATCTAAGAAACAGCCGGAAACAGTTCATTTCAAACGAAATTGAAGCTTTCAACGGGTCGCGATCACAAAAGGATCACCAGAAATTAGCCCAAGTGTGGGATGGGATGGGATGGGATGTGATGTGATGGTGGGAGTCTTTCCCCACAGACCCACTTAGTTATCAGTGAATTCCAGTGACAAGCTACAAGCCAGGCAGGTGGTGGTCAAACAGGTCCCATTTCAAACTCGACGGCAATCGATATAGACAATTATCCGATCGATTCGAGTACACGCGACTATGTACGGTCGCATCAGGTTTTTGCATCTCGTCTATGACAAATCAAATGGGGCTGCCAGGCTATGAAATCTGCCTACAATCAATCAATGTGAATGCACATAAAGATATGTACAGATACACATATGTACGAGTTCGATTACGAGTTGTATACGCATATACGGATCTGTGCTATGGCAAGTGATTTGATTGCTTTGACTTGGCAAATAAACGACTTCCAATTAAAATCATTTGACGTACTCAGCGGAGCTGTCAACGGCAGTGACGACAATAAATGTTTATGAAATTGTTTCCAAATACATATGGCTGCCCGATGGCCAGAGGGTTGGAAATGGAACGGCTTTCGCAGCAGGATATCGCAGAGTAATCCCAGAGGGAGGGTTGGACTTTCGATAGGGTTGAAATCTTCTCTTCTCTGCATTAACTTTGATTTCATCATCTATGCTTTCAGGGAACTTTATGCAATAATAGAGAATCATAAATTTACTAAAGCATCCTATGGCAAGCTGCAGGCCATGTGGCTGGAGGCCCACTACATTGAGGCCGAGAAGCTGCGCGGTCGATCTCTAGGTGAGTGCAAAATACCCACTCCAAAGGAGCTTTATATATAATTGATCCAATTGCAGGACCCGTTGACAAGTATCGAGTGCGCAAGAAGTTTCCGCTTCCACCGACCATCTGGGATGGCGAACAGAAGACGCACTGCTTCAAGGAGCGCACGAGGAGCCTACTGCGCGAATGGTACCTACAGGATCCCTATCCGAATCCCACCAAGAAGCGGGAGCTGGCCAAGGCCACAGGCCTCAATCCCACGCAAGTGGGCAACTGGTTCAAGAATCGCCGCCAACGGGATCGTGCTGCTGCGGCCAAGAATCGGTAAGTTTCACCGCAAAACTTCTTCCCGTCTTCAATTATCCATTAGGGAGTCACATACCCTAGCAAGCTCCAGCTCCAGCTCCAGCTCCAGCTCCAGCTAGAAGGTAACTCGAGATGGACTATGTAAAACGATATCACACATCCAACCCATCTCCTTCTAAGCGTCCAAGTGGGTTGCTGCGGATCGCTGGGGGAGTGGGAGAGTGGGGGCCATACAGGAGCGTTTCCATTTCATTGATCCGTGCCGATACTCGTATGTGGCACTGGTGCGGTGGCGGTGGCGGTGGCGGCACTCAGTGAAGCGTTCTCGATTTCTGCTGTTTGTTGCGGTCGTCGCTTTTTGGCCACATTAAACTGACCGCCGCCGACGATGACTATAAAGATGATGATGATGATGACGATGAATATGAATGCTGCATGATGATAACGATGACAATGTAAACGCAGCTCATGCTTCACCTCAAAAGGTGCAATCGCTTGCAAAATATGACCAGAGACAGAGATCGGGAAAGATGGGGGGAGTATGAGAGAGAAGTTAAAACTCGACCAATTCGCGCGAAGTTGAAATGAAGAAGATCCCGCACAGGAGATGCCCACAAAGTGGCGGAGGAGTAGGAGCAGAAGAAGGAGGAGGATGAGGAGGAGGAGGAGGAAGGCAAGTTAAGTGGAATGACACTGCAAGAAAGGCCAGGACGGAGTCTCCGAGTCGAAATCGTAGTCCACTCAAGTGCCTGACTGCTCCTGCAGATGCGCAAATATTTCAAGTTCTACCTGCTAAACGAAACGAAACGAAACGAAACGGAGAGGCAGAGAGAGAGAAAGGAAAAGTAAAAGAAATCGAGACAACATTTGGCATACTTCGGAGAGCGAGAGAGAGAGAGAGAGAGAGAGAGAGATCTTGAAGCACGGCACCCGATATCCGAGATATCCCATCGAATCCAAGGGTCCGTGTTTATTAAGTTAGAAGCAGCTTCTGCGTCGTCCCAAATTGAATGAATCTGCACAAAGCGCCAAGCAACATTATTCACATAAGCCACCAATCCAATCCGTATGGCCCCGAAAAAGCCAACAACAGCCACATGCGAGAGCCTTTTGGAACGGGTCATTAGTTAAAATGATGGCGATTATTTCGCCTGTAAAGCAAAAGCAGCAGCAGCACAGCAGCAGCAGCCATTACAGCTCCATACGTACCCGATCCAGAGTCAGGCCAAGATCCACTTGGCCCCAGCTCGAGTTCGAGTTGTTTTTTTTTCGAGGTTTCGTGTAGTCATCGTGTTATTAAGCAGAGCCGGCACAAGACTTGAGGATGAGACAAAAAAACAGCGCATTGAACACAAATGTCTACAAGCCATAAGATATCCAAAAGATAAATGTACATACATATACATATACATATACATATACATGTACATATACATATACATATACATATATACAAAATATGAAATTAAAAGCCGTTCCCCAGTTCCGTATGCCCCAGCGACGGCAGGCAACCACTTCGACAGCGCCAGGCGATGGCAGACAGGAGAATATGAAGGGGATTCCGGCAGGACAGGACAGGACAGGGCAGGGCAGGGTAGGATGTAGGGGCCAGTGTCAGACCAATCTCACCAGAACAGAACCCCAGATCGAAAGTCTCAGAGACCTGGCCAAGAACAGGCGCTGACTGTTCAAGCATTGTGCGCTGAAAAATTGTTCACATTTTTGCTACTGCACTTGTGCAAACGGGGAGCAGAGCACAGAAAGATACACGGACAGACAGCCAGACAGCCAGACAGGCAGAGCAGCTGGAGTTGGAGTTGGAGTTGGCAATGGAGCTGTCGGCCCAAGCAAAACAAGATAGTGGCTGGAGGTAAGAGCCAAAGTGGTGGCTCCAGCTAAGATGGTAAATCAATCAAATACGCAACTTCCACCTGACTACTGCTATACTCGTACAGGCGCGAGTATTAGAAAGGCTTCACAGAGAAAGGCAGGCAGCGCTTGCTCCCGAATTGAGTAATTAAGACATCAGAGATTGATCGACTCAACTTGAGTCTGTTCGAGTCAGCGGAAACTTGTCACGCTCTGATGCCTTCGACTGCCAAGAGTAGTGCCGCAGTTGCAAGATATTCAAAATCAAGATTGCAGCAAGATAATACAAGAATTCTGACAAGGGGGAGCCACTGGCAAATGATGTGAATGGGAGGGAGAGTTGTACCTCTGCCCGAGATGGGCCCAGATATGAGCGAAGAAAGCCTCTTGAAGCGTGCAAATCTGATGTGTGAGAGCAAGAGTCCATAATTGTTGAATTAATCCAACATTCATTGCGATATTGACTCCACCAGCGAGCAGCAATTAAAACTGCCGCTGACTCATACGATATTTCGCATTAGAAATCCAAATTCGAAGAAGCTTCAACTCTTGGCAACATTCATTCAAGCCGAAAACGGCGACTCAGGCCATTAGCCTTAGCCCAGCTATAGACTTGATTTTGATCAATTACAATTGCCACTTGATGATGCACGACAGCGATATGAGAGAACGAGCTTGGCTCTCGGAGAAACCAGCCACAGAGCCACAGAATGTGTGCCGACTGCTGCCCGCCGCGATTGTTTTATTGCGTGAATTACACGAAACCGAAATGCGTGGCGTGGCTCGTGGACTGGAGATTCGCCCACACAGATGGATGGCAGCGGAGATGGCAGAGGGTCGATTGCCAAATTAGGGGCACACCAGTGGGTGGGTGTCAGAGAGGAGAGCAGAACGAGAAGAGCAATTTGTCAAGCCCAGAACACAAAATGTGGCAGCAGAAATCAAATCAACGAACATTTGAGTACTGGTAGGGGTTCGGGTTCGGGTTCGTGTTCGGGTTTTTGGGATTGGGAAATCCCGGAGTGTAATGAGATTGAGCACACAACACACAACACACAACAAATATGTTGTAAATGTCAATTATCAATCAAAGCAACAAACACGCACTTGCGGACACACTTGTGGGGAGAGGAACGAGAACTGGCCCCATAAGCAGTTACAGATACATCAACCAGCGGAAAGGAGAGAAAGAGATGGGAAGGTATGTGTGTGTGTACATGCTTGAGGGAGTGAGGGGATAAGGACAAGAAGCTACCACTAAATTTGAAGAGGTTTTGCCCATCGATTTCCCAGCATCCGAACATCTCAGATCAACTCGAATTCTAATGAAGAAAGGAAGATGCAGAAGCAGAAGCAGATCCACATCCACATCCACACCGTCCATTGTCAATATCCGAGTCCGAGTGGGCACTTGTCTGAGCGCTCGGACAGGGCACTCGAGTCACATAAGTACCCATACCCATGATGCCGTGATGGAGGGAGCCCCCGTGAGGGAGCTCCAACTTCGACTCCAACTTCGACTCCGACTCAGACCAGCGACCGCCACTCGACGCTGTTTGCACAACACCAACTACCGTTTTTCGGTGGCTTGTGAGAAAAATATACAATATAAAATATACAAAATGCTGCATGCAATGGGAGCAGAAGCCAGAGATGGAGCTGGGAAGCTGGGAAGCAGGGTGCAGGCAGCAGGGAGCAGGGAGCTGGGAGTCGAAGAGGAATGGGATGAGTTGAGTTGACTGAGAAGTCGGACACTTCAATGCCGTATAGAAAGTGTATTAAAGAAATTAATAAGAAGTCATCATCATGATCTTCATCATCCTCAATGGAGCAGCAGAGCACTCACTCTTCATCGATGGCTACACCGGATGTGGCCTTTGTTCAATTGACAAGTGATAGAGACAGAGACAGAGAGAATGAGTGTAAGGTGGGGAGGGGTAATCGAGGAGTGGAACGGGTCAAAATACCCACCCAGAGGGGGTTGCAAATATTCAAATTCAAATGCGAACAAATTTAAATCCCGTTTGTCAACAGATCTCCAGAACTCGGGCAGAAAGAGCACAAAATAAATGTTGATTGCATTTAGGTCCGCCACTCCAGAGATACGGAAACAGGAACAGAAACCCCTCGGGAGCGACTGACTGGAAATGGCTCTTAGAGGCAGTCGGAGCAATGGGATGGCCCAGGCTTGTTGTCTAAATATTTACACAATTTAGAGCATTCAATTTGAATTGACACAATTATCGAAATGCCTCGACAGCGATGCAATATTCTGCCTGATTTACCATCGACTGCCGTATTGACATTGGCTGCTGTCGTAGAGCAGAGAGAGAGAGAGAGAGAGAGAGTTGTTACCTCAACAACATCAGTCATAGAGTGGGGGCTTTTGTCTCTGATTGTGATTCTGTCTCTGGGTCTGGGTCTGGGTCTGGTCTTTAAGCCATATTTAAATCGCAGCGAGAGCCTTTTGTTGGTCTAGCGGGGATCATGTTACCAGCATTCTTTTGCAGCCTGAATGGGTTTCGGTTCGGTTCGTTTCGGTTGGATTCGATTCATATTGAATCCGAGTCGGAATCTCCATCTTCTGACATGAGCCGATTAAAGAACATTTCAATGCTTCTCTTCTCGGGTTTCCAGCCAGCCAGCCAGCCAGCCAGCCAGTCAGCCTTCCTCTGACTGGCCATGTCCAAGCGGGTAATTACATACGTGTCATTTCGGTTAGGTTAGGTGCCACACGGTATCGGATTTCAGTCAACCCTTGCCCCTGGCTGCCACTCTCTGACTCTGTCTTCTGCATACTGCTAGCTCCTGCTGCCTCCTGCTGCTCCTGCTGCCTGCCTCTGTGCCTTGACAAGTCAATTGTGTGGAAAATATATATCAGTTGGATGTATCCAAGTTTTTGGTTTCCTGGCTCAAGCCAAGCGTGCCGAGGCAAGCCAAGCCAAGCGATGCTCCCAATGGAGCGTAAAAGTGGCCTTGAGTCGCCCGTGCCAAAATTGTTGGCTACTTACCACAAGAAAAAGAGCAAGGATCGATCCTTCGATACACATTTGTGTGTTGTGCTACCGCCGGGGGCTTGGGTTTCGTTCCACCGACCCACCGCACACAGATTTCCAGATACTTTCTCATCGCTGGAGGCTTCCAATTACCTAAAATCAGAGGCAGAAAAACCTTTCTAATCGGCGTAGTGGGCCCTTTTATTTCTGGAGTATCCCAGCAGCGGGTAGTCTCCCAATTCCTCCACTATCCCCATGCTCCTCCCCTGATCGTTTTGCTAACAATTCATCTTGGCCGGGGACACGCACACGGACAGTGGCTGTGGCTGTGGCTGTTTCTGTGGCTGAGGGAAGACCATCAGTGATCCATCAAGTTGGCACATTAGGCAACTAAACGATTTAATGCCCCCTTCAAAGGCGAAAGACAAAGGCCACAAAAAGGTAGCCGCATCATATACATTTCGAGGCTCCAACTGTGCTCCAACAGTGTCTCTGCTCGGCTCTGCTCGTGGTGGTTGTGAGTGCAAGTGGTGCACCATTAATCACACAACACGAGCCGCTCAAGGATCAGCGGTGGGGCAGAGGAGTGTGGTGAACAAATTGCGGCAACTTGAGCGAATCCTAACCGATAATTATGACATTGCAGGAGTCATGGCGCGATGGCAAATGATGATGTATATGAGAATATGTTCTCCCCCTTCTCTGTCTCCCTCTCCCTCTCCCTCTCGCTCTTTCTGTGTCTCACTGTCTCTGTCTGGCTGCTGGTGTCGAATCTATGGCGGCTAATCAAGTCATCTTCTGGTCGGTTGGCGCGCCTTTTGTTTTGGCCACAGACAATTTATCTCAAGCATGTGTGAAAGTTGTGTCAGATTTATGAGCCAAACGGAGTCGGAGTCGCCTCCTTCTGCTGCTTTGCTGCAGCATTTCCCCCTGCTCCTTTTGACCCCCTGCCGATGGAGGGCAGCGACAAATGAGCCGCCTTAATGGGCGTCAAGCCACAGCCACTGCATCTGTCGGCCATCGACTAATTAACGATGCCGATGCCGATGCCAATGGCAATGCAATGAAAGCCCCAGACCGGAGTCCATCAAGACGTGGAAGAGCGGAAAATTGCGATGGGGCGGCGGGTTTGTGGGAGCAAAGGAAAAGAAGCAAAGTGAATGCCGATCGAGTGGAAGCTTGGGAACCGATCTAATTATATTAGCCATTCGATCAGTTATTATTACTCGTTGAAACAAGCACCGGAAACTGCCACATTCTGAGGCTTTCAATACCTTTGATGAGTGGTTCGATGTTAAGGAGAGTCTAGAGAAATATTGAGAGCCAAAGGGAAAACAAATAGAAAAGTTTTAGCAGAGGAAATTGCTCTTAAGCAGATAATTTGATGGCAAGAATAGTCTAGGATTTACTAGGATGTAATGTATATCCATTAGTGGAACCCCCAAGTAACCTTTTTCCCTTCATTTGCAGCCTTCAGCACAACCAGAACTCGGGCATGGGCTGCCGCAGCCGGCGTGCAGATGGCGCTGCCTCGCCCACGCCCTCGGACAGCTCCGACTCGGACATCTCGCTGGGCACCCACTCACCTGTGCCCAGCAGCCTGCAGCTGCAGCATAGCCCCGGGAGCACCTCCAACGGCGCGAATGACCGCGATGAGAGCCTCAGCGTGGACGACGACAAGCCGCGGGATCTGAGCAGCTCCCTGCCACTGGCCTCGCCCGGCCTGACCCCGCCCCAGCTACCCCACGTCGGAGTCGTATTTGGTGGCGCGGGTGGGGGTGGTCCACCACTGGCCGGGCCGGGGGGTTGTCTGCCGCCTTTCAAGCTGGATGCGGCCACCAGTCTCTTCAGCGCCGGCTGCTACCTGCAAAGCTTTAGCAACCTGAAGGAGATTTCTCAGCAGTTCCCCATCCAGCCCATAGTCCTGCGGCCGCATCCACAGCTGCCACAGCTGCCACAGCTGCCCCAGCCGCTTTCCCTTAACGGAGGAGCCGGCGGTCCACCGCATCTCCATCATCCCGCCTATGCGGCCTATGTCGAGTGCGTGCCCAGCCACGCCCAGCAGCCCCCACCGCCACCCAAGCTGCGGATCAACTCCCCAGAGAAACTCAATTCGACGGCGGTGGCGGCGGCCGTAGCAGGCGCGGGAGCGTGCACAGGAGGAGGAGGAGGAGGTGCGTCACATCATCACGAGGCAACGAACACGGGCTACCACCACAGTGGGCAATTGCTGCTGCACAGACCCTTCTCAACGTCGCCCGAGCTGAAGCACAGTGCTCCAGAGATCACATGATATCAGCGGGTCTGAGGTGTCGCCACATCCCCGCACCCATACCTGTCTCCCGCCCCATCCATCCCCCGAAGCACTAAGGCCCAGCTATTCAAATTGTTTCAATTCTAATTCTAAGTTAAATCTAGTAAGTTCCAGTTCGAGCAATACTCTGAATCAAGCAAAATCGACTTTAGCCAGCTCCTGATTGATACGGAAATCTGGAAATCCTATGGAAATACCCCCATATCGCACCCTACACCCAACAAGTTCCAGTACTCGTACCACAGCAAACCGCAAGTGTCGCACCCTCTTTTCAAAGATAGCCATTTAAGCCAGTCGGACGAAGAGTTACAGTTAGTTACAGCCAGAGGAACCAGTGGGATATTATAGTGACGGAGGTGAACAGTCCTCAGAGTGTCCTCCCCTGCCACCTGCCGGGGAGCTGAATGTGAACTTGACTTCGAAACGTTTTCATTCAGATTTTTGTGTGTGTACGTACTTGTAAATAGAGTTTAAGTATGCAAAATCATAGAGCTTACGTATACATTTAGATTGCAATAAAAACCGAATGAACAGTTAAGAATTTAAAATCATTACACGAACTTGTTGTTTGTTATTGTTTTGTTTCGAAAACCCAAGGAACTCCAACGATTGTAATTTAATTAACAAAATTGAAGAGGAAACTGTGAAGCAAGGATAATACATTTTCTTTTATGTGAAATGATTCTTTTACTCTTGTTCTCTTGTCAAGAGAACCTAATTAATGGCATTGAAGCCAAAAGGCAGCCTTTTGTTGGCTATCATTTTCAGCTTTCCTCAAGACAAACGTTAGACTCCGGAGTAAATAAAAACTCAATAACTTCCACAGGATCGGGGGACTGTTGATCCTCCTTTTATTCATCTGCTGTTGTTTGGCTCTGTGTGTGTGTTTTCTCTCCGATTGTTGTTGATATTTTGAAATAAAATATCAATTTCTGTGTAAACATCAACAAGAGCCCACGAATGCATGCGGCACCAAAGTCATCTGCAAGCCAAGTCAAGTCAGTTTCCAAAGGGAAAGAACAACAGCGGAGAACGTCTACCATGTACATATGTACGAGTATTCATGTATCATCCTACCCCCCATCCTATCCAAATGATGGCAGTCGGCGTCGGCGTCGGCGGATGGCGCCAACGATGACATGTCCGGCCTTGCCATGTCCTACTTGAGTGGTTTACTTAGCTGCCTTATGAAAATATCCAATGCTGTGGGCAAACGCAAACACACGAATGCAGCCACAGAATAACCACAATGCGCAGAACCACAGCGGACGGACGTACCTCTTACCAAAAACAGATGAGAGCGGAGGATAGAGGAGTATCCACAGAAAGTGACGCGTCACTGTCACTCACACACAAATGCACCACATCATCGTCATTATGGGCTCAAAAGTCGCGTCTGTAGTGTGCCCTGGGAACATTCTGTGTCCATATCCATGCCCATACATACTCGTACTCGTACTCGTACTATGCTATACTATATCGAATGTGGAATCATTTCGACTGTGCATATGCGATCTAATCTGAGCAAGAGCAAGCGCCAGAGGAGCGCCAGAAGAGGAGACGACTCTTGCGGCAGATTGATGGACTGGCTGACTAGTTGGATAAGTGCTTCCTTTTTACAACAAATTTTCGGCTCAAATTACAAGGTGAATCCATGGTGGTGGGGTGGGGCTAGAGCATGTGCAAGTCGTCAGACCATCAGACAGTCGTCAGCGCTAGAAACACTTGAAAGCGCAATTATCAGTAGCCGGCAACACCGTCGAGCCCTGCCCCGGCATTAAGTATACGCCGCAGTGTCAGTTAATTTTCCCCAATGCATGAAGGCATTTTCGGCCATTTCATGTTTTATTTTTAGTCCCGTCTCGCACCGTTCGCGCCACCTCATCACCGTCATCATTATGCATGATGTGACACTTTTGACCCTATTTCCCTGCACTATCCTCCACCAATTTTCGGGCCACCTCTGCCTCTTGGCGTCTGCGGTCTGCCGTCTGCGTTCTGAGGTATGGGGTCTGGAGTCTGGTATTGCTATTGGTAGTGGAATCGATAGGCGATAGACGAATACCATATGTCTCCAATTAGCCGGCGACGCACCACTCCACTCCCCATCTTTGGCACGTAATTGATTTGCTAGTTTTGGAGGGAGCTTCCAGGGAATGTGTCATTCGGGTGCCATTGACCAATTACATGAGCAGGCAAAGACGGTGTGAGAAATCGGGACAAACTGCAGAGGCCATCTATTGAATGGTGGGCTGAGACTGAAACTGACTGCCCTCCAGTTGCTTCTGTTGTTTTATCCAATTAATGCGTCGTCGGACATAATTTCGAGGGTTGATAATTATCAAGCAACGCCCGGGAACAGTCAAACAAACTCTGACTTCTATAGGCCCAAAAGAGAGGGTGTGTGGCCTGTGGTGTGGTCCTGCATTTACATATTTTACAAGACGACTCAATTAGGTTAACCACAAAATACCAAAAAAAAAAACCGACTCGTTCGCTGCAAAGGTTTACACACACAAATTTGAAATTGAATTTATGCACCCTCCAGGAAAAAGTGTTTCTCTTTCTGTTTTGTCGTCAATTTGTGCAGAGTTTCCTTCCACATCCCATCCACGCTCTTCGCCTCATTCTGGCTCTCGTCTCGTTCGAAAATTGCTGCTCAACTAACTCCCCCGAACAAAAGCCCATGGTTACAGTGGAATGCACTCTCATTGTGGGTGCACAAAATATTTGGACAGGCCACACTGAATGTTTGTTTTTCTAAGAAGCCAATTATGTATGATGGTCATTATTGGGTATGGTCTTAGAAAAAATTATCATATGTAGTTGCAACTATTATAATAATTGTGCAGAACTGTGACAAGTTGGTCCCACTGTCTTTGAAGCTTATTGACAAAGGGAGAAAGCACAGAGACAGACAGACAGGCAGAACGACAGACATGAGACAGGGGAACGTTTACCGCAATATAAAACATTTAACGGCACATCTTTAAATCTTTTGACTGACATTTGCTCACTTTTTCGCCGCCTGTCTGTGGGTGGGGTGGGATGCCTGGGATGCTATTGAGGCGGGGGATGGTGTTCGGACAGAGAGCGGGGGGGGGAACACAACGAACCCCATCATTAAGTGCGTAAATGTACTGTAAATAGACAAACGCGCTTTGAATATAATTCAACCAAAAGAGTTGCATTGTTGTCTCCCTTTTCGTGGGGGTTCGGGCAAGAGATTGAAGAGCAGGACGGACAGCAGGGGAATGGGCATGGATGGCGGAAGCAATGCAAATTCCCCAAAACAAACAACAGCCGTACCCGAGAAAAACCCATCTGCTCCGCACTGTTTCGGACTGTTCCGACAATTGTGAACAGCAGTCAACAAGGCGAATCAATAAATTCCGACTTTATTATGATAATTTCCAGTGACAAATTGCTGAAGAGCCGTTCGGGCGGGGTGTGAATTAAATGGCCCGAGGGACTTGGATAGGCTTGAACTTTGTCCAAATATTTGCAGCATTAAATGAGCAACGCAAACACTTCACACATGCTACAGACTACGAGTATATGTACGAGGATAACCCTTTTCTTTCAGCGAAGACACTTGTAAGGGGTTCGCATCGCTTCAAGCGAATCAAGCATCCTCCCTTATGGAAAAAGCTTGTGGGCGTAACTGTGGGGCACCTGGAGCACCTGGAGCACCTCTTAAGTTTGCTTCATTAATGGCATTTACTGTTGGCTTCGGTTGCGGAATAATTCGACACTCGTACTAATTGTCGCCGAGCATCCCAAATGAAAGGTGAGTCGCTTTCCCTTTTGTGTGTCTAATGAGATTTTCCCCTGGATATAACCATCGATATAAAGATGGGGGAGTCATGTTCAGACGGGGACTCCGATGCCTGATGCCCGCTGCCCGATGCCCAACGACTCAATTTCGAGCAAAAGGTGCACCAGACAAAGGGAACAGGAGGCGTCGATCCGTAATTCATAAGAGCATTGAAAAGGCAGTAACAGTAACAGTCCCATTCTCTCCCTATCAAGATGATGTCTTCATCCTGGCTCTGGTTCTTGTTCTTGTTCTTGTTCTTGTTCGCGCTGAGAGACGGAGGGCGTGGCTTTTGTGGTTGAGTCTCGGTGCTAAAGAGACTCGCCTCTGCTTCTGCCTCTGCCTCTGCCTCTCCTCTGCTGGGCCTGGGATCTGGGTCCCTGCTCAGTCCCTCGGATTCGGATTAACAAAAGCACTCAGCCAACTCCGTGGATTCTGATTCTAGAAACATTTCCGTTGCTGTTTCTGTTTCTGTTGCTGTTGCTGTTGCTGTTTCTCTTTCAGTTTGTGGCATTGTTATTCTTGCCCACAGACCGCATGGATTTAGAGATTTTGAAAACGGATTAGATGGAAACACAGAGGGGAAAAATGCATTAAATGCTCTCGCTGTCCAAAATATTCATGAGGACGGCTGGCAGATTTTCCATGTGATTACTGAAACGCCATGTAAACGGTTTTCGGCCCGATTGCATCGTACACCAATGATGCACGACTACAGATACGAATAATGTGTACAAATATTCCCCTGATGATCGATACGCTGCTGAAAGTTTGCTGAGTTCATTAAAAAGCACTTTCCTTCGACAGCCACATAGATATTGACGCTAAATAAAGCATCCTCGTTCCTGCTGCAATTGGAAAACATAATTTGAGATGCATTAACCTAATCGGCCAGTGGTTGCCTTCATTCGAACTAATTAAACTAAATTGCTATTCCAATTTTCCACTTGCTGGCCAAAACATGCCTTGGGACAGAGCATTCTACCATCCTCCTCCCATCATCATCAACATTATCATCTCGTTTAGAAAATTGAGGGGCTGCCCGAGTGAGCTTTCCCATTGAAATCATCTCTGAGCTGCTCTCCATTGTTGTGAGATTGAAAAATCGTATTGAATTACTGAAACAAAAGTGAAATAGGGAGACCATAGAGCGTAGAGCTAGGAAAATTGAAGTTAAATCAAAATCCATAATGTTGCCAAATGTGCGATGCTTTCCATGCTCTCTGGTCCCTGTTCTATTGTGTCTTCCCCAGCGATTCCCGATTGAATTATGAATTAATAAAGATGTTTGCCCGCAGGCCAGATTTGGGTTACGCCAGCCAAAAGACAAAAGGGGACCCAGAACCCAGAAAGTTCTCTGGCTACAGAGAGAGAGATACAGAGAGTCGCCCAAGTACAACCCCTATGGAAATGTGCGTTCATTCGTTCTCTCTGGCTCTGGCTCTGGCTGTGTTGCTGTTGCTGTTTTGGCTTTTTGGATTTTGGGCAAAACACACACATACAAATCCGTTACAACAACATGCGTGTAACTTGAGGATGCACTTTTGCTGCTGCCCCTTTTATTGAAAGATAATTGGGTTCGTTCGCCAGGCGGGCGATGAGGAGGGCAGGACCTGGGCGACCAGACAGGCGTAAAGAACGGACGTTCTCGTGCTCGTTCCCTTAAACCAACGATTCGCAATTCAATTGAGATTCAAATTCACTTACCCCAACTTCCAACA